CACGGACGACGGACGACGACGGACAATCACTCATATGATAAGCTTCGCTCGACAAAGTCGACAGCGGAGCTAAAAAAAGTGATTATAATCTAATGGCCTAAAGCCGATGGCGAAAGCACTTACCGACGCCGGCAACTGGGCCACTTCCTTCACCAGATTTGAAGCAATTGAACGAGTCGTCATAGATGCCTTTGCACTTCTTGCCGGCCTCCGCACAAACTGAAAAATCAAATCAAATAGCATTAACATCAATTTACACATCTGTATAGAAAGCTGCGATAATTGATCGTTGTTTGACTTCAGCTTACACCGTGAGTGATATTCATAAAAGGTTATGGTTGTCCTAATACTCTTTTGAGAACTTGAATGCAGTTAGAAAATGTTATCACGTAACTCACCTGCTAGGATGAATTCCTTGTGGAAATGTCCTTCCTGATAATGATCGTATAGATCATCGCTGAAAATGGAAACAATACAACAATGACTTAGATATCATCGCGTAGACCATGTATGTGTCACGTGATACGTTGGCTGAGTGCGTCAACCAACTCGCCATTTTATTTATTCTAATTAACTAAATTAGTTCTTAAATTATTTATCCATGACGCCACGACTTGTCAGATACATGATTGATTCGATGTGATGAAACATGAGATTTGAGTATGCTAATCCATAATATAACGAGTAATTAGCAATTATCTGACATATGAGGTAAATTGGATAATTAAATGATAAATTAAATGACAGGGAAGACGCTCAAAACGTAAAAAAATATACCTTATTGCTTAGTTCAGTTGAAATTAACAAATCACGCGATGAAATGAAGTATAAAGTAAATGGGCACGCGAGTACTGCCGTGCTTACAGCAAAACGACTTTTTACCCAAACTGCCTCTCTAGATAAATATTATGGGATGTACTTACATTGAGTCCATACCTTTAGTGTCCAAAGCACTAAGATGCATGGCGAAGACATATGTACGGTCGTCGTTACCAACACCTACATTGGACCTAGTGATCTTGCCTGGGTGCACGTTATATGTAAGGCTCACGCCACAAGCATCGGCTCCAGGTGCACATACAACTGGTCCGAACTGTCTGTCGCGAATCTGCATGGCTTTGTCCTCGAGGGTGGGAAGCAGGCCAAATGCTCCAGGTCCAAGATACACATGGCGGGTGATCGACTTACCACACTTGACAGAACCTGCGCGGCAATGAATACCAGCGCCCATAAGCGTTGGGATCAGACCGGGAAAATGCTGTGCGATACGGCGGAGGACGGGGAATCCTCTAGACGGGCCTGTCTCTCGAATCTTGTCAAGAATTGGTGTGTCACTATCGGCCCCAAGTTCTCTGTACAGATTCTGCAGTATTGGGAAATCGCCAGCACCCTATAGAATATAATGATAAATACAACATTTTATTTTTCTCATTGCTTAAGAAACAGGGCACGTTTAAATGGTTGTTATATTTCTGCGAAATGTGAATATTCGTAAAATTACAAAATATTTTAATAAATTTACCTTTTCCAGGTTTTGTCGAAGTTTTTCTAAAACAGGGCTTCCAAATTGCCCAGTCATCTCCTGAGCATTTGCTCCTGAAATAACAATAATTGACACGTTAATAAATTTAACAGTATTAGTATAATAATGACGCCCCCTATTGACATAGCAGCAAAATGATGCTTATCTTTTGACTCATCGGGAGCTTATTTCACATGTTTTAATCGTAATTAGTAGGACACAATTTGCATTTCGGTCACCGCCCGCTTGTTTGCGTCCGTCATTCCTTCTCTTCATTATGTGTAGACAGTAAGCTTCGAATACTATATCTTGAAAATTCAAGAAAAGTTTCGTTTTGTATCTATCTATCTATCTATCTATCTGTGTAAGCATCGTCGTTTCCTCGTACTTCAACGTATTGGCAATGTGGGGATATATCGCGTAAACCTGGCATAATGATAATAATCCGCACAGAGTGGACGATGTTTGTCATCACAAATCTAACCTTTAATGGTTCAAACTGGGTCAGTCGATCGAACGTTATCACCTTGATGTGCTATTTGTAAAGTGCCTGTCTGAACATTGTTTATAGATTATCTATGATAAATATACCAGACTGAAACTGATGATCTCTGCTCTGTGACTTACCTGACTAGATGACATCGATACAATTAAATACGTGCTCATTAACTTTTCTAATTAGAAATACTACACTTAAAATGGCATGGGATGAACATGAAGTCAGTAAATAAAGCGGAAATAATAGTATTCAAACTAAATAGCAACTATGTCAAAAAGTTAGAGAGTGAATTGGTATTATTCAGCTAGGAATCCTGAATAGGGTTTGTTTGCAACATTGTCTTCTTGAAAATTCTTTAAACTGAAGGATGAATTGCGTTGAGACGTACTTACCGACTATACATGCCACAAAGGCAAGAATCAGACGTGCATCCATGATTGTTTGAAAGGATGAGTGAGTTGGTACTGAGAATCTCCACTGTTATAGAAAAAAATGTGGGCGTGTTACACATAAATTCAGATATTGTATGCAAATTGAGCCCGTTATTAAATTAACATATCGTTAATAGCCGGAATACCACGCCCATTCTAAGAGGATGCATGCCCTGTTATCATTTTTCCATCTTGGGGCCAGCCGAGTCATCACGTATCTTAAAATATACTATGTTTATCTTATCCACTTCTCCCATCGCCGGATACCATCAATCTCATGAACCTTGTCCGGTACTCAGCAATCAGTCCACTGACCGATATTTCCTCAGAATGTGGGCTAGAGGTGGTGTATAAGTAGACACCTAATATCTGTAATTCCGCGCGTAGTAATGCAGCAAATGCAAGAACTGAATCAACTCACGGAGAATGTAATTGAACAAATTTTTTGCTCTTTTTCATATATTCCCTAGTTTTGATCCATGTCGCCTTGGATAAAATGAACTTCTGGTGTTAACTTGTTCATGTGGTAGATTGTTATTATTATTATTTATTATTATTGAAGACGAACTGCTGTTGCTAAGTTGTGCGTGACGTCACTGAATCACGCATCGTTCGTTGTGACTAAATGAGCCCGTGTGGTTTCTTCGACTCTCATATGGGAATTTTGTCAGAAATTCCAACTGTATCCATGTGATTCAGCTACAAACATCGTTCTATACATTTAAAATAGTGTTAAGTCATATGATATAATATGTGGGTTTTAGATAGGAAGGCTACTCAGGAATTTCGCCCGGGCCACAGAGTTATTTTCCTAAAACCGCATTTTGTGAAAACTGGGGCGCTATTAATTTTGGAGAGACACTATTTATATATAAGATCATGCAATGTAATTCAGAACCATCCGAGTGCAATTAGGACATACATTTAAAACCATTGTCATGGCAACAATCAACCAATCTAGACAAGCCTTGCTATCTGGATAGTACTGTGAACGATACCAATGTTTTCATATTAGTCAAAATGAAGCACATGTTTTGACGCTGGATATGATGGTATGTTATGGACAAAAAAAACTACAATATATGTTATACAAAACGCGAAGGAACCAATACTTGTTTGGTCGCGTGATCACCGCGGCGTCGTGTGGTTCCACGCATGCGTTCTCCGTTTTATAGTATGATTGTGTTGTATTTCTATCATATTTGTATTACATTAGATAATGTTGTCATTGGTCATTTAAAATGCCTGAGTAAAAATTGTGGAACGCGGAATACTAAACATAAACAAATAACACGCAAACTAACACGTTAAAACGAATTATGGTTGGCAATCACTTATGCAATTCAACTTAAAGGGCGGTAGTCATCGCGCCAGACATGCGTGAGATATGTGGGTCTCATATAAACAAAGATGGCGACTTTGACTATTGCGCAGATAAACGAGGACAAACTGAGACGTTACGAAGCTTTATTTAGGTATTTTTTAGGTGATTGGAAGGTATCGAAGGAGTCACCGGCGGTAATTAGTGCATGTCACCCCCAGGTCAAACCTCAAACTCGTGATTTCCATTAGAGGAGCGCATTGGATTATAGGAAAATCAATGTTTATCAACACAAATGTCACACATGCGCAGCGCGACGACTGCCGAGCTTTAATGAATCGCACAAGATTGAAAAACAGTAGTTGTTGTACATAATATGTGCAATTTTACCCGAACAAGATCATATTGAATCACAAAAACTATTTAAATTCAATGAAAAAAGGCACTATGAACTAATCTCAAAAACTGATTTGATGTCATTTCCAAAATACCTACGCCAAACAACTTTTACGCATTCTTACCAGCCGGATGAATTAAACAGATTTTCAGCAAAAAACAGGGCATTCACGTTATTTTTTGATGTCGCATGACTCACCGTTACTTTTGACAGCGATCATATTCATTTCAAGTACTTTGTTTATTACATTATATCTCTGTCCTTGACCGCACAAGAACTTGATAATATTAGTCTGGTGACTAGTCCAAAGTTTGTCCAGTGTGCATTATTTCGAACTCAACTGTAATGACCCAGATTATATTGACTGTTGATTTATAGTTGACACAGCCTGAGTAATTTAGCTAAATTAGGTCCCGAGTAAGTAATAAAATAAGTATATGGAAATATGCAAGTTTATCACGTGATGATGTCATGGAAAATATGTACGTTCAATTGTCTAATTTATTACTATCCTTCATCAGGGTAAGGTTGTTTAGGTCTCACACCACTATTACAATTGCAACAAAGCGTAAGGTTCTTTAGACACACACCTGTGTGATTCCCCGACATTTTGCGAGTGTTTTGGTGATAAACAGCAAATCTACAGCGATGTTTTTACTTGACAACTGTTCTATTATGGTGTGCTTGACCTAGTTACAATTGAAAGGCAAGTTAAGTATTCGATCGTCAAAGTCTGTTTACCCCTAAAAGATAAAAGATTATGCCAATAAGAGATTATGCCTATATGGTGCATAATTAATTAAACAAATTAACAGAAAATAAAAAAAAATATATTGCACCAAAATGTTGGCGTTGATTATCTTTACTATTTGATTTGGTAGTGTTTTTACAACTAAAATCATGTCTAGACAAATTTGGAGCTTTTACTAGTCATGCATCGATAACCTATGAGGATAGTGATCGATAATTTAACAAGTTGATACATGAAGAGGAAGGATGTGATCATAAAGCGTTATCTTATCGACCGAAACAGGTTAATTGAACAATAGGTCGAGTGTCTCGACAACGCGACTCATTCTCCGATATTGTAAACGATCTTAGACATGCCTTGATCAATTACATTCAAACTTCACATATACATCATACATAATATTATAAATATACACATCAATTTGTTTCACGATCTGATTCATTATGGACAAGTACTCGTTTGATGATTAGATACAAGTTGACTGAATGTCAATCATTTTAATGTTAAAAAAATCATCATAATCAAGCATCAGCTTATGGGTCCATATCGCTGACATGTTTATGTTGCAACTATATTACTATAAACAAAAATATATATCTTAAATTTGATAAATAACGGGGACTGTGCCATGCATGGCTTGTTTTGTCTGGAACAAGTACATGGCGTGATTGCTGTATCAGCTATGATAGGAGAAAGGTCACAGACTTTGGCATATAAACATTTAAAACGTGCATAGTCAGCATACACCCGTAGGACAGTTAATGCTGGAAATTGATAAAATCAATTAGAAACCTACTCTTAATGACAAAAAAAGGTAGTCATATGTTATGTACAATGTGGAGCTATAGTTCTGGTTATCCTGTGTATTAAAGTACCATATTTAATTATATGCTGCCTGGGGTAAAACAACAATACACATTGTACCTTCTACACCCCCCCCCCCAAAAAAAACACGATAACGCATTTGTTAACGACGAGATGCTTGTGGTTGGTCGAGAACGATCTCACCTGAATTATCTCACGAAAACATGATTGGACAGCACGTTAGCATTAAGTATATCGGTAGGCGTACTCATAGCTGTCAGTTACACGAAGACAGTCCATTTCCCGTCACAAGATCAAAACAAGAGATAAAGTGATTGTTAACAATTGAAATAAGCGTCCTCTCAATGACCATTTCACAGTCACTCTGACGCTGAAGATGGAAGGTTGTCTTTCTATTTTGCTCATCGCTGTCACCCTATGTGGTGAGTACTTATAATATACTGTAAAATGACTAATTTTCACTGGGTTTAAATTTCACTGATTTGCCATTTCAGGCATATTCAGTGGGTTTTAAATTCACGGTTTTATCATTTAGATAATGTGTTCTATGCTAAATTTTACATATTCACTGGGTTTTAATTTAGCGCATTTTCCAGTCAGCGAAATAAGCCAAATTAAAACCCAGTGAATAATTAAGCCCTTTACAGTATATGCGTGTTTTTCAAGCTTTATTTTATGTTACGAGAAATAGCATATAAATATTGTATGATTGTGGAGATGATATTTCGTTATTACAATACAAATATACCATAAAACCGGAAAGGTGAACAGTACCAGACCTAAAATACAGAGTGGTAAGGATATACGAAACTTCATATTCTCAGTTAAAAATGTGTAAGGGGTTGCATCTTCGGGAGTGAAGACGGTAGAAAAATTGTTCTAGTTTTTTTGAAGATGTAAAGATTTGTTTTCTTTTTCAATATGTGTGGATTTTGTTTATAAACATACTTTTGGTTACGTTCCCTGTAGAATGTTCTTTCAAAATTTACCATCTCGCTCAACCCCACGTCGATGAAAACTGTCTGCTCGTGTTGTATATGTAGTGTGTATATGAGTGCTGCTTGGAAAGAAAACGCTTGTGTCTGTTTAAAAACTGATACATGAATCCACGTTATTTGATCCAGAGAAAATATTTAATTAATATACAACTAAGGTGAAATGGTTATTTTAATAATCCGCTTTCATACGTATGGCCGTGTCATCGAACACCACTCGACGTAACTCATCATCTTTTCGTCGACCGTCCTCCACTTAATCCGTTCCCCCGTCTGAATATCAGGCCTGCGCTGTTAAACAATATTTTCAACTGTTAAAACAAATATTTAATTCAAGGTAGACGGAATATACATAACACCAATCACGCGAGTTTAGCGGAGGTGACATTCTAGTTAATGACTGGATGTGTTTAGCAAGAATACGGGATTTGCGGAAGCATTTGTTCGAGTAAAATTGTGATATTAAAATTGTTTTTGATAGTCTAATGAAAAAAAATCTTTACAGATACAACATCCAGCTCGATGAACGAATTTATCATTTTTATTTGAAGCAGTTCAGAAGTTTGTATATCTATGTTCTGCCGGTGACTTTATTCTAAATATATCAGCTGCCATGGGGTCAGCAACGTCAATACCCTTGTATTTATTTTTAGCGATGTATCAACGCTGCCAGGGTATTTTGTTGTAGCATGTTGGTGAATGCCAATTTACAACTATTATACGTGCCAATGGTTGTACTTTGTAGTTCGCCACGATAAGTCAATAACTTTAACGATAATTCTCAGACCGCATCGTGAACTAAGCGATACAGGTATGTAGATTTCAGTGGCGAGTGTACCCTTCTGCAAAACCTGCGCGTTTATATGATAGTTCGACGACACGACAGGCTGTATGCAAATCAGGTGTATGCAAATTAGCTGTGTGTGAATCACTAACCTTTTGTCTATCGAATTTGTTTGCACCCGCTGTAGAAGCTGCTTACATGATTGTGGCTGATTGGCTGCCTAATTCTTACATCTAACATTCAGACCAATCACAGAGGAGCTTTTTTGTATAGATGCTTCGAATTAATTGTACGCTCAATATAAGTGGTTCACTTGAAGCAAACGATAATTGCATTGTGCGATATGTGACGAGTAACACCGAAATCAGCAAATACGTTTTACAAATAATGCATAACCCTAAATATTTGTAAAGGAATTTACTCATTGCATGGATGTGTGTCCACTGTAAGCTGGTTTACCACTGTTTAATTGATCAGCAGATGTTTCGCAGAATAGAGGCTAATCCAACCACTTTGTTTAGATTTGATAAGACGAATTAAAAAATAGTTTAGTTTGTAAGTGTTTATGAGTATAATTTTAAAAATAAACATACTTTTGCTGACTTCAGTATATTGCTATTTTTAAATGAAATCACTATTTTATCTCTGTTTATCTCTATCTAGGTGTACAATGCATGCCCAATCCATTGGCTATGGCCTTGTTTGGCCAAGGTGTAAGTACTTTTCATTCATCTCGGTCAGTTAATAGTGTTTTACCTTTTATACAATTTGAATTTAGAACGAAAGGTGACAGTTCAATTCCAACACGAAAATATATACTGTGTCAAAGTGCTTACACTATAAAACTGAATTGTGTTTTAACAGGCTCAGCAAAGCTCACCTGATGGACATGGAGACGGTTTGTTTGGTGGTCCTAGTGGGGGTCTTGCTAATCTGCCCCCAATTATCAAGGCTGCTGTCGCTAGTAGACTCTCTGGTCAGTCTGGATATGGCTCATTTGCTGGTGGAGCTGCTGGTGGAATAGAACTGCCATCAATGGAGTGTGAGGATGGAACATACGAATGCGGTAGAAGCATGACTGAACAAGTCTTCGTCGGTGGAGATGGACGCCCACAGTTTCAAGGTGGACCAATGCGAAACATGATTGACAAAGCTCCCATCTTTTGTCATCCGGGTTCAGAAAATTGCGGTGTTCACGTTAATTACCATGTGTACCTGAACCCAAAACCCATGGGCGGTATCTGGGAAAGAGAGCTTGGTGAAGCCAAAGTTCTTAGAGCAAGACGAGGACCACCTGTTGTTTGTGCTCCTGGTAGTGACTGTGGCGGGCGCTCACAGATTATTGTTCACAATCAAGATGCTAGCGAAATCAGAAGAGCGTCACAAGAGAGATCCTCTACATACACTTTTGTAATACACGGTGCCAGCGTTGAGACTTTGTATGTACCATTTATTTTACTATTCACTCTAAGCAGAATGTACCGTAGGTCTAATATCCGCCATGTATGGATGAGAGTGAGAGAGCCACGAAACTGTTCTTTACCCCTCAAATATTGTCCATCATTAATTTCGCCTATGTATCTATGGTATGTGCAACAAAAAATGTGAGGATAGAGAGTGGAAGAATATTTGAGGGGTCTTTTCTATTAGGCCAAATGGGTGTGGTGTGTATACCAGTCTCAGTGAAAAATACTTCACATCAAATATTGATTTGATCTTAGAACAGGGATCCCGCCTGCGATTTGGTAACTTGATGACATCCTAAGATTCTAAAAAAATTCATTCTCAATGAAGCTACGTAACTGAGCGGCGAAGTTTGGCTATTGGCAATGCCGGTATCTTGTATTTATTAAGTTACACATTAATCTTAACATGCCAAAGTTTTCAGACAAAATTTTTCCCGACAATAAATTTTAATTTACAGCGTACATCAATTTCTATGGAGTTTATGTTGATATTCAGGTATTGTTTTTCATCAGTGACCCGATTGAAGGTAAAATTGATATGGGATTTCACAAAGATTTGGTCGATGAAGGTAATATCTCTTAAAATATTATAGATAATAAAAACCGGTCCCAGTACATATTTCCTTTTCCACGCCTAACGCCCTCTAGCGACGGCATACATGTGTGACGTAAAATTGACATTAATGAGCGAATACAGTGAAATTTAATGTATTTGATTCTGTAGTATTTTGACCTATAGTAAATCTCAAATATTTTGTATAACGGACGGGAAAAGATTGGAATAATATCGACGATGTGAACGG